TTTGGAATTGGATCTTTCAGGTCCTTTCCAGCCGAAACCATTCCATGATTCTGTGATTTGCTCCTCGAGGCTGGCGCTGGGAGAGCAGCCAACAGGACCCTGCCTGAGATGAGCTGTTCTGAGGGAGGATGTGATGCTTAGCAGGATATTTATGGTGTAAAACTGCCTTTTGTACTTCATGCTGCATCTTTATGTCGAGAAAAGGATGAATGTACATATTTTGGCTTTTTTTTTTTTTTTCAATGGATACACCTTTTGGAGGTACAACCTGCTCTGTGTGATCGTGCTTTGGCAGGGAAGTTGGGCTGGATGGTCTCCAGAGGTCCCTTCCAGTCCTAACAGTTCTGTGATTCTAGGATATATGTGAGCTCAGCATTTACTATGACAATGAGGAAAAATATCTGTTGGCTTTTAAACTTGCTCTTTTTGTGGATTAAGGAATCCCATGCCAAATTCCTGTTGGTTGCCGAGAGAGTCCTGGGTGAGGTTGGGGTCTGCACAGCGAGTGGGGCTGAAAACTGATAAGGGGGCGTAGGAAATTCATTGCTGGTGGGAAGATAAAAAGTTGGGGAGTAGTCAGATGCTTTTGAATATCTGATGAAATGACTGCTTTCCAATTTGTAAAACCTGTTCCACATCTGTCTTACCTGTGAGTTGATGTAGGCAGAACTTAGGTGAAATGTTACTGAGAACAAAGGTAGCAGCTCTGTGCCAAAATGCTACTTTTAATGGATAAAATACAGAATTGCTCCTGGGGAATCAAAACTCTTTCATTTTTTTTCCTCTAGATTATAGCATTTGATGAACTGAAGACCGATTACAAGAACCCCATAGACCAGTGTAATACACTCAATCCTGTAAGTAGCACACCAGACATTTTGTTTTGCTAAATAAATACGTGTAAAATGCTTATTTTTGGTGTTATCTTGATGCAATCAGCCTGGGCAATAGAATTGCATCTGGGTTGAGAAGCCCTCGCTGTTGGTAGCAGTTGTAGGGAAATTCTTTGTGTGATTCTTTAGTTTCAAGTTGAATATTCTGACTGTTATTAATCTGATGGTGATCTTGTCAGCTGTCATACTAACATTCTTTCAATCTGCTTTCCACATTTTCGGCACAAAGACAGTTGAAAAGGTCAAAAAGATTAAAAGAGTCAAAATTGCATTAAAGGTGTGTACTGCTTTTCAGTTTCATGTTTTTGAACTTCCCTTTCATTTTGTTAGGAACATCTGTAATACTATTTAGCTGTTTTGTTTAGTCTGCCTGTTCATCTGCTCGTTATTTGTTTGTTGGGGTTTCTAACAACCTCATGGATTTCCATATTTTGTGCCAAACCAATTCTGCTTGCTTACCCAGCAACTTGGGGAAAACTGTTACATGCCTGTTAGGTGTCAGAAAATAACTTCAGGCAGAAATAAATTGTGTTTTTTCAAGTCAGATATACTGAATTCAGATTAGAGGAGAATACTTGGGGTTTTTTTTAAGCATTGACCAAGTCAGTTCTGATCTTTTTTTGAGGATTTGGGTGAGTGGAAGGTGATAGGTGCTCTCCTCACTTCTCTGTTCTGTGTCCCAGGATCAGGGCTGTGTCCCAGTGTCCTCTCTGGGATGCAACTCAGACACTCCTTGGCTTAGGAAAGGAATTTGAGGCAAACTGTTTGCCTGCATCTCTGACAGGCCAGCAGCATCAGGGAGGCTTGTTAAAGAACACAGAGCTTGATCCTGCAGCATTTTATGGCTTTTCCTTTGTGTGTGCCCAGGCTGAGGGAGGATGCAGGGGCAGCACAGCAGCGTGGCCTGACCTGTAGCTTTAGTGTGTTTTAAGTAAAATACACTCCAAAAAAATAAATTTGCTGTAATTGGGGGTGGAGGAGGGGGCAGAGAGTGTGTTCTATGTACAGCACACGAATGCAAGTGAATATTTCAGTGTGAGGAGGGGAGGAGGAGAGGAGGTTTGCTGTAGGAGAGCTGTGCATCTAACAGTTTCCCTTGCTTGGTCTGTTCCAGTCATCTCTGCTGCAGTGTGGGAGAGGCCAACTCTCATTACATCGATGCATTTTGACCTTACTGCAACCTTTGTAGTGTAAAAATGTGCATGTTGAACTGGATATTAACCTTCTGCTGCCCCACGTGCATGGAGCGTCCTTTACATGGCAGCTTTGCTTCTGACAGTCTGAAATAATCTCATATTTGCTGTTCCTGTGGAAGCAGGCTAGTCCCCAAAAGTGAAGTTCAGGCTCTTGAGGGGTACATGATGCTGTGTGTTGTTTTCCTGTAGAAAGAACCAAAGATCTGGGTAGGAATTGAGGCATCTCAGTGGAGAGATTAGCCTAAAATAGTAACTCCTGAGCACACTGCTGATTCCTTCTCTTCCCTGCTCCTGTTATAGTCGTGTCTTTTCTCAGCAATCAGATCCATCCTCCCTCACTTCTGTGATAAATATGGTAGGATCTGATGTAATTCATTTTTCTGTAGGACAGGCAGGGAGGATCAAGTGGGGGAGATAAGAAAGAGGCAGAGATCCTGGTGTGGGAGCAGGGTATAATAAACAAGAGAAAAGAAAAACATATTTTGAGATATGTAGGTAAATAAATACAGATTTTTCAGGCCTGGTGAATCTGTCTGAGCAGGCTGCCAAATGCATCGTGTGTTGGACAGGGTGGTTGTTCTGCTATAAATAATTCCATGTGTAAATGGTAAGTATGCAAAGAAGGATCTGGATGAAAATATTTACTTGAAACATTTTGTGTCCAACAGCTGAATTTTGGTGGTGTTGATGCAAGTTTACTTTGATATTCTTCATTTAGAGAACTAGAATGTCAGCAAAGTAGCTGGTGAGTGTGTTTGTTGGTAGCTTTTAGGTTTCTAGGAAGATATTCTGGGGTTTTAAAAGAAGAAAAAAATTGGAAACCACTGAAACTTTGATGTTATCGTCCCATGCAATGTTAATCACACTGCACAAAAAGAGAGCAGAGTGTGTTGTGTGTGTACATGCACACACACAGAGACAATTGAAACCTTTGGGTGAAAATGGGGTGTTTTCCATGAGGAGTTTTCCAGGGCTGAGTTGAGAAGGCAGAAGCTTTGCAGAGCTGCTCCAAGGGCTGGGACCAGGCTGGGAGAGCTGGGGGTGCTGCCCTGGAGAGGAGAAGGCTCCAGGGAGAGCTCAGAGCCCCTGGCAGGGCCTGAAGGGGCTCCAGGAGAGCTGGAGAGGGACTGGGGACAAGGGATGGAGGGACAGGAGCCAGGGAATGGCTGCCAGTGCCAGAGGGCAGGGATGGATGGGAGATTGGGAATTGGGAATTCTTTATAATGAGAGTGCTGGGGCCCTGGCACAGGGTGCCCAGAGCAGCTGTGGCTGCCCCTGGATCTCTGGAAGTGCCCAAGGCCAGGTTGGAGCAACCTGGGATAGTGGAAAGTGCAGCACTGGATGGACTTTGAGGTCCCTCCCAACCCAAACCAGTTTGATTGGTATGATTCCTTCTGAACCTGGTAATAAAGCAGTGAATAGCAGGTAATGAAGCAGTGAATAGCAACACCTTGGGGTGACTTGTACAAAATGAACTCCGTGTTGGGTGTGAGATTCCGCAGCTCTTTGCATGTGTTTACTCTCTGTCCCTCTCCATGTTGTTCCTATTAACAACACTAATCTCTGCAGCATTCCATGCTTCCTGTGGCTCCATGGTCCCTGGTTCTGAGCTCTGTGGGCTTCTGCTGGAAGCATGATGCTGTAAAGCATGCACAGTGGGAGCTGAGAGGGAGAAGTGGCTGTGCAGAGCAGCTCCTCTGTGCACACCTGTGTGCCACCACGTCACCGCTGGTTTGGTTGGGTAAAGCTCTGCCTGGGCTGTCACATTTTGGGAATAATTCAACTTTGGAAAGTTCTGGATCTGTGAAACAGGAAAACACAAACTTATCTTGTTGTCTATAAACCATTCTGCAGAGCATGTTTCCTATTGATATTTCTCTGTTGCATGAGCAGAAATATCTCAGTGACCTCTTCTGAGTGTCACACATAAAGCGTGGAATCTGTTAATTTAATAGAAGCAATTAAAAAATATTGATCTGACCATTAAATCTGATAAATTTTTCTCCTTGGTTCATGAATAGCATGTGAAAACAGCAAGGCACATAGTGTTGGCTGCTGCTTTCACGTTCCACAGTCTTGTTCTTGTTAGTGTTGGTTTTAAAGAATATTTTTAAGCAATATTGTGCCTCCAAAGTAGCTGAAATGCCATGTTTTGCTCTGTGCAACCAAAACTTCTAACTCACCTTTTTCTTTTCCAGCTTGTACTTCCAGAGTACCTCATCCATGCATTCTTCTGTGTCATGTTTCTCTGTGCAGCAGAGTGGCTCACACTGGGTCTCAATATGCCCTTGTTGGCTTATCATATTTGGAGGTAATTTTGGCGAGTCTGTTATGCTCAGTGAATTGTTACTCATTCTCCTGTTGCTGTCTTCTGTCCAGTGTTCTGTGTCTTGGGAAAACCCAGATGCTTTCTGGGGAAGTTCAGGTCATGGCTGTAGAATGAGAGCCATCACCTGGCTTTCTTGGGTGGGTTTTATTCTCTTGTGCTGTGTGGGAATTGAGTTGTGTGTGTGTTAAAGTCGCTGACATGCCAGAGGTGCACTGAGGCAATTCCCAGTGTGGAATGCCAGTTGAAATAGCAATTCCAATTTCCTCTGCCATTCCTTAAGGCATGGGAATTGAATTGCTTCTCTGTCCAGGGTGTTACTGGTGTCTCAGCTGTGGCATTCCCTGGTGGGTGGGGACAGGGCTCAGTTCCTGTGGCTGCCACCCCACACCTGCCTGTGCCTCGTTGCAGGTACATGAGCAGACCCGTGATGAGCGGCCCGGGGCTCTACGATCCCACGACCATCATGAATGCAGATATTTTAGCCTATTGCCAGAAAGAAGGATGGTGCAAATTAGCATTCTACCTTCTATCTTTTTTTTACTACCTATATGGGTAAGTTTTCCTCTTCAGTCTGAAGCTTTGGCTCAGTGCTCATGTCCATAGGAATATGATCCTTCTCGTGGTGGAAGGGAGCCTGTGAGAGCTGCACAGGGACTTTGGACCAGGGTGTGTAGTGATAGGACACGTGGGAATGGCTTCCCACTGCCAGAGGGCAGGGTTAGATGGGATATTGGGAAGGAGTTGTTCCCTGGGAGGGTGGGCAGGCCCTGGCACAGATTACCCAGAGAAGCTGTGGCTGCCCCTGGATTCCTGGAAGTGCTCCAGGCAGGGCTGGACATGGAGCAGCCTGGGATAGCCAAAGGTCTCCCAGCCCATTGCAGGGGTTGGAGTGAGAGGATCCATAAAGTCCTTCCAACTCAAAACATGCTGAGGATCTGTATGGTCACCTACAGTGCCAGCTTTCCTGCTAAAGAATCCACATTCACCCCTGATTCTGCTCTGAAACACAAATCCTAATTTGATCAGAATTACTATTTTGAATCTCTGTTCCATGACTGTGGACTAAAAAGCTCCAAACTTTTCTTCTGTTAACCATAATACAATAAATCCCAGGGTATTTAATTAAGAAGCTGAAACTTAGTTTTCAGAGGAAAGTATTTGATGTAAATGTGATTTTGTTGAAGTGAAAAGTAGAAGAGTCATTTTGTCAGATCTTCAGTCACAATCCACGTATCTCACATGGATTTGTTCCTTATAATAGACCCTGTTAGAATTAAATGTGTAACACTAATCAAAATGATGCATCTTAATATTTTTTTTTCTTCTGCAGCATGATTTATGTTCTGGTGAGCTCTTAAGAAGACATTCAGCAAGCTTTGTTCCAGTTAAGTGCATGCAAAAGCCACAAAAAACATGGATTCTTTACAACAAGAACCTCTGACCAAGATTAAATCCGGAACCTGATGTTCACAATTGAGTTAGAAAACAATGACTCCCCTATTTTTAAAATATTTCCACATTTTATACTTGTGGAAAGACTGTTTTCTTATATTTTACTGGGACGCTGAAATTGATGAATTATGTGTAAATTAATACAAAGATGCCTGGGGTTTGAAAAGTTTTGACTTTGCACTCCATAAGGAACAGCCATAACCTTCGAGTAGGTGTTGGTTACTACTAGCCTTAGTGCTCTAGGGGTTTGCTGTAGGATGGGCTTTGTAGGGGCTCACTTGGACTTGTGTATCCCACTCTGGACTCTAAACCAGCCCTGGCTCCAAGTGCTTGGCAACAACTGGAATGCTCTGTGTTTTGCCCATAGGTGATGTTGGTCTTAGGATATTAATTCATGGACACAAAAGCAAAAATAGTTCTATTCTGGTTGATTTTTTTTATTATCTGGTTAATCTTGCCCTGTATGTGCATCCATAGGTCCAGAGCCTTCTGTATCTTCTCCAGACATTAACCCTGCTTTAATCTCGAGCCTGTGCCATTGTGGTAGGAGAAGCTGAATTGTCCATGAAGGAATGAATTTAAATGTGTTTTTTTTTTAATGTCTGTGCTGATTAACAAATGGACAAACCTCCAATGTTTATCAAGTCCAATGATGAAAACACTCTTGGGTTTAGGAGTAGTAAATACTACAGACTTTTTCAAAGCAGAAGGTGAGATTGTGAAACTGCCCCGCTGTTCCTTAGTGCAATAAATGATAATAAAAAACAAATCTCAAATTCAGCAACATTTCTTTTTATGTGGTGCCTTTTGTTTTGTTTATAAATTCAACAGATCCTCACTGTGTTCATCAGTTGTTTTACAGTGGATTATTGCATTCCCTTTAAAAATAGAACACAGAATTGAATTACCTCTGGAAAAGGAGAGCTCTGATTTCCTGCTTTTTTTCCTGAAGTTAAATAGCAGATAGGGCAGAGGAAGATGTTTCAGATAAATATTGCATTGTAAATTGTGACTGTGAACAGCTGCCTAATTTACAAGTATTAATTAGGAATCTTTTTTCATTTATCTGTGCTGGAGAACAATGCAGAGTTTCCCCATTCTAGTAAAACTTTTTTTTTTGCATAAACTGTGTATTTGTTCACTTTGGGTCTCTTGGGTATTAGGGGCAGTAAAAATGTATGAATGGCTGCACTGGGTTCCACCAGAAATCCAGATATTCCAACAGTGGTGTGCTGGGCAGTGCCACTGGCTGAGGAAAGTCACTCCACAGCTTTGGGACTGTCCTTTCCCCACAGCCTTCCCCTTTTCTGGGCTATTATCACACACAGTTTGGGTTCCCAGGGCATGGAGAGTGGGAGTTTCGAGTTTTTTTAAAATATATTCAGGCTGTGATAACTTCAGATTCTCTTTCCTAAGTAAGAATAGCCCTGACAGTTGATTGCTTTGTACATAAAATTGTTTTTCTCACGTTTCCTTGCATTTATTGAGCATTTCCTATGCCCCTACTGCTCAAGCCTTCAGCATTCCATGATTATTTTTTTCCTTGTGCAACCATAATTTTTAGCTTTTCATGGAGGAATTTTTGAAAGGCTTTTTTGGAAACTCATGAATATTGTTCCTATTGGATAATTTTTATTTTTCTGCTGCTTGGCTCTTCGGAAGATGTAAGAGATGACTTCAGCCTGTGGAAGCAAAGCTCATTAAACCTTATATTTGTATATTTATTAATCCATTATGGAAACAAGACTGGCTGCTTCTAGCCCCTGGCCCTCCTCAACCTTCTAAACAAATCTCTTGTTCCCTTGGCATTTGGGTTGGTTTGAGCCAAATTCCACACTGGAATAAACAATGCAGGCCTGACTGAGCCCAAGTGCCAGCTGCTCCAAGGGCCCAGCAATATTTACCCGAGTGTTTGCACTGTCCTGAGCAGCTTGAACTGGGTGTGTGGGATGCAGAGGAGCACTCCCAGCTGCCCAGGGCTGTGGATAACACCATCCATGTCCAGCAACATCAGCCTTGTGTCCCAGGAGTGCTGGAGTAGCCCTTGTGTAGCTTTGCTGGAGTACCAGGCCTTTGGCATTCAAAAAGTGGACCTGGTCATTGGTTTTGGAGTTCTAGGAGGCAAAAGATGATGGAGAAGATAAAGAACATTTCTCCCACCCTCAGCAAGCTTCCTGCTGAGTCATGTGATAAATATTTAATATCTGAAAACCATTAGTTGCAAGGATTAAGTACTGAAGTACATTTGGGGCAGGGTATTTGCTGAAAATTATTCTGTGCTGTGGAAACTGGAAAAGTTCCTGTTTGCCATAAGAGTGGGCAAGGGAATGGCAGTAAACACTAATTAATCTGCAGAAATCACCTTTCTGCTCAAAGTTCAAATGTTAAAAGATAAATTCTGAAATTCACAAAGCAGAGACTTGTTCAACTCCAGCCTCCTGATCCTCTGTGGAATCTTGTCCTAACTTTTGAACTTGAGAGGGTTGTGAACTTTATCAAAATCCTGAACTTTATGAAAAGCCAGGAGCTGTTTCATTGTGCTTTTATGAATGGATATGTGAAACAGGAGAGGCTGTTAAAGGGCTGTTCCCGTGAGTTCCTGCCAGCCCCCAGCTGATTGTTTGTTTACTCTCAGTGCTGGCAGCAGGCAGAAGGGCTGTGCCAGCTCACCCACGCAGCTGCAGCAGAGTCTCCCTGCCACAGTCACCTACAACCCCCCTGCTGGCTTTGTCACAGATTTGTGGTGCAACACCTCCTGCTTTTGGAATGAGGAGACTCCTTCCCAAATAGCCCTCAACACATCGAGCAGAACCTGTGACATTTTAGAACGAGTTGTTACGAGCTCAGAAGGGTGAGAGCTGCAGCTTGACTTTGCTGATGGTGTGAGGGTGTTTTAAACAGCTCCAGAGATGGAATTTCTACCCAGCTCCATTCTCCCAGCAGAACAGCAATGGACACAAACACACTTGCACATGCATTTTTCAGGCAGTGAGTATTAAAATCACCAAAGAGGGGAAGATGCCACATGTTCTCTAGCATTTCCTTCCCCATCCCAATGCTTTACACATGGATTTAGAAGGCAGCAGCTGTGTCACACAGGCAGTAGCACTGAGGAAAGGTCAGGAGAGAAGTGTCTTGTCCAGGAGTTTTCCACACAGGCACCCATGGCAGGATCAGCTACCGCGACGCCGACCTGAGCAGCGGCTCCTTTGTGGCCAGGTGTGCAGCCAGCTTCTCCCGGAAGTCATGGAGGAAATTGTACTGCTGCAAATGCACAACCAGGCTGCAGTGAGTGCTCTGTGCTTTAGCAACAGGCACCACCTGTGCTAAAAAGCTCTGTGATACCCCTGGATGAAAACTGCACCCTCTGGTCCATTTGTTCTTTATGTGCTTACTCCACATCCTCTGGGACTTTGCACTGTCAGACACAGATTCCATGGACCTTGACTTGGATCCTGTGGCTCCCCACAATGGCCACAGGTGATGCATTACCCCAAGGCAATGCAAAACGTGGTCCTCAGAGGTGGGAGTTGTCAGAACTCAAAGCTGCATTATTTGGAATCATGGAATCATTTAGGTTGGAAAATCTCTCTAAGGTCTTTGAGTCCAACCATTCTCCCAGCACTTTAACATCCCTAAGTGCATCCACATGGCTTTTAAATCCCTCCAGGGATGGGGATGCCACCCCTGCCATGGGCAGCTGTGCCAATGCTGGACAACCTTTCAGTGAAGAAATTTTCTCTATTATCCAACTTAAACCTTTTCTGGCACAACTTGAGGGCTTTTCCTCTTAGGAGAAGCTGTTTCTTGAAAGCAGGACACAGCTCAAACCCCAGAGAGCAGCTGTTAAGGCAGAGGTGTGTCTGGGAAGTGAGGAGGGGCCTGCCTGAGCTCTCACTGCTCTTTGGACCCGTGTGTTACCTGCTCAGCCCCATTACCTTGATGGTCTGTATGGCCCCTGATCCTCTCAGCTTCCTGAGGCTCTCTATCACCTGCTGAGGTGCCAGGGTGTCTGAAAGCTGGAGCAGGAGACAGGCAGCCACTGCAAGGGAAAGTGTTTACACCTGAGTGCTGCTGAGCACCTCTGACTGCACACAGCCACTGGTTTGTCCCATGAAAACCCTGGCAAACCTATCTGGGTTTGTCCCAGGGCTCTTGGATCTCTTGCAGAATCCTATTTCTGAGCCCTGGCCCATCTCCCTGCTGCTCCTGCCTCAGCCTATGGGCTTTGGAAATAGGTGAAAACCCTCTCACTGCCTTCCCAGCAGCATCTGGATGAACTCCTAGGCTTTTCAGGAATGAGTGCCAGTACACCCAGTTAATTCCTTTGTGTCTTCTGGCCATATCCCCACCCCTTCCTTCTGGGAACACACAGTAACTAACACTCCTGAAGGCTTTAAGGGGCAACACTGGGATCAATCAGAGGCAGAGGAATCCTTTCTATTCACCAGGCTGCTCCTGGTAGTGGTAGCTTGGATTGCATCCACAGAGAAGCTCCCAGCAGAATTTGGCTCTGTGGGTTTGTGGGATGGAGACAAATGCTTACCAAGACATGAGCGTCCAAGGCCACCATAACAGCTGGGAGAAAAGAAAACATCTGGTTGGAATGAGCTGTAGCAAACTGCAGCACCCAGGGACCCCCCAGCACATAAATAATGGACACAGTTGTTGCCTTAATACAATCAAGAGGAACAGTGGTACAAAAAAAGTCAGAACAAGAATTTCTATGTATTTTCTATATTCTATTTCTATACCTACAGGGATATATTTTATTTATTCTCCAGAACTTTTGTATCTTTCCATGGAAACTTCAAATTTAAAGTTCCCCTTCATTCCTGCTAATAGTCCCAAAGGTACAGGAGGACAGGAAACAGTAGAAGGATGGACAATTTCAAATTTCTTTAAATCCTACTCTAGATTAAGGGTGTGAGGAGAAAAGCAGGGTTCTGTGTCAGCAGGAAAACCAAGGACTCAGTGGATTTCTGTACAGGAAGGTGTCAGTAAGATCATTCAGGGAACATGGAATTTGGAAAGCTCTTCCCCCCTCTTCTGAGCTCAGCTAAATAAACTTCTTTAAACCCATTCATGGAAATCAGGAGTGAATTTTGCACTGCTGGAAGCCACTGAGTCCCTGATAAATAGTCCAGGGAAATGTTATGGAATTATAGAGTGGTTTGGGTTAGAAGGGACCTTAGAGTCACTTCATTCCACCCCCTGCCATGGGCAGGGACACCTTCCAGTGGATCAGGTTGCTCCAAACCCCATCCCTGGCCTGGAACACTTCCAGGGATGGGGCAGTCACAGCCTCTGACAAAGGAGTGCTTTTGCTCCCAACTCATTCTGTACACCTGATATCCAGGTGGGCTGGGGGCAAGGAGCCCTGTGGTGCCACTCAAAACACACTTTCAAACTCTTGCTGGACAGAGCAAGGGGAAATGGGACATTCTGATCTTCTGAAAGGAAGAATTCTCTCCAAAGCTGCAGGAGGAGGAACAAGCAGACTTCCCAGCATGAGCTAACCCTAAAGAGTGCAAGTGCCTTTTCACACCATCCTATTTCCCCTGCTCATACACCTAGAGAGAAGCTGGCATCCTTCACAGCAATGTGGGGTGATGGGGAGGCAGAACCTACTGTATCATTGTTTTCTGCTTATTTTCCAGGCAGGCTCTGAGCTCTTCCAGGATCTTGCAGCAGGTGGCAATGTCGGGAGCATTCCCATCGGGAATGGGGTGGTGGTGCACACACATCCCGTGCTGCTGGTAGGTGTCAATCAGGTTTGGTACTCGGTATTTTGAGAGCTCTCCTCTGGTACAAAGCACAAACACATCCTGGATCCCACAGCTCTTTAGTTCTCCTGCCAATGGATTAAGACACTTGCAGATAAACAAAAGCCAATCAAGCTTAAGGATAAGCAGATAAGCACCTTGGTCCTGATCTCTTGTTTCATCTTTGGGGCTAAGACAGTTGGAGTGAGCAATTTTGGTTGGAGGACTCTTTCTTCCACTGAGCCTCCCCCACATTTCCCTTCAGGTAATCCAGGAGAGGAATTTTCTCAGTTCACTGAGAGAATCTCACTGGAGAACACAGCAGCACTCAGGGCAGCCTGTTATCCACCTAAAGATGCTTCTGTCCCATCTCCAGTTAAAATCACAGAATCCCAGGATGGCTTGGGTTGGAAAGGACCTTAAAGCCCATCTCATTCAACCTCTGCCATGGCAGGGACACCTTCCACTATCCCAGGTGGCTCCAAGCCCCAATATTCAGCCTGGCCTTGGGCACTCCAGAGATCCAGGGGCAGCCACAGCTGCTCTGTGCCAGGCCCTGCCCACCCTCACAGCCAGGAGCTCCTTCCTAAGCTTGACTTACCCAAACACTGAGGGGATTTGCTATTGGTCTCTGCTCTTTAGTGCTCACACCTGAATACTCAGCACAAATCTTTACATAATTCCATCCTTTCTATCCCAATTTCATTTTCTCTGGGAAAAAGGAAGACTACAAGTTTGTAATTCATCTTGGTCCCAGCTGCTCTGAAGTTGCCTCATGGGTACTGTGCAGCTCCTGCCTGGAAATATCCTGACTATTTATTCCATAGTCATGGAATATTCATGGAATTGCCCTTGGCACAAAGAACACTCACCTATATCTTTCTGAAGATTTCTTCTGATATCCTTAAACCTGCAACCTGAAACAAGTTATGAACAATAATTACCACTGCAGGTAAGTGACATTTATGGGATGGCTGCAGCAGCAGAACAGAGCACAGGCACCCTCCCCCCAAAATCAAAGCAAGGAATGAAGCCACAGCTTGAATAAAAGACAGTTCTTGTTTTTGCAGGTGGATCCCTGGTGCAGAAGGCAGTTTAAACACCATTATCTGCTTAATACTGTAATGCAATAGGATTAACCAAAGAAATCTGCCCAAGGTTTTAAGGTGCTTTGTGTTTTCCAGATGAAAAGTTTTGGATATTTTAAATCAGGATACAGCATAAAATCCCCCCACAACACAAATAATCATCCAACAAATAAAAGGGCTGAATAAAGATCACTTAAGAGTTGAGTGGAGATTCACCATGGCAGCTGTTCTGGTAATTAAAAATGCAGACAAAATTTATATGTTTACTTTTCTGACTTAAAAAACATGATCTTGCAATAAGATATTCTCTAGATTAGCTTTCCAAACCTATTCCAGGGGTAGATTACAAAAGGAGTCACCCACAACACAAATTTGGGGTACAAGGTATTACCCCTCTTCATCTCAAACATGCCTGCAAATTTCAGTGAATGCTTCTTACCTGGAAGGGAACATAGTCCCAGGAACTCTGAAGAGTAGAGAGGAGACAAAGACAACCTATCAGAAAATAACAAGTAAAATAAATAAAAATCAGAAGGGAAGATTTCAATTATTTAAATATATAAATAGGTTTAGAGGCGGTGTCAGGAGGGTGGGGCCAGAACTTTTCACCAGTGTCTGGTGGGACGATGAGGACAGGAACAAAATGAAACATGGGAAGTGAGGATGAAGAAAAATGTTACTTTGAGGATGACAAAAGGTTTGGGTGGAGGGGACCTTAAAGATCATCTTGTTCCAATCCCCTGCCACAGGTAAGGACAATTTCCAGCAGCCCAGGTTGCTCCAAGCCCTGTCTAACCTGGCCTGGAACACTTCTAGTGATGGGGCAGCCACAGCTGCTCTGGATAACCTGTGCCAGGGCATCTCCACCCTGTCAGTAAAGGGAATGGAGGCCTGGAACAGGCTGCTCAGGGAAGTTGTGGAGTTTTAAATGGAAACATTTCAAACCCACCTGGGTGTGATCCTTGGCTCTGCTGTGGGGGAGCCCCTGGGCAGGGCGGTTGGATCAGCCCCAGCGGCCCCTTCCAACCCCATCCGCTGACACTTCCCCAGCACCACCGGGCCCCCCAGCCCGCAAGGTCACCAGAGCCCGGCTCGGGCTTTCCTTGCGGAGAGAAACGCTCTTGTTTCTCAGGATAGAGATTTAATACAATTTCCTCAGAGAAAGGACCCCACGGGTGCCGCCT